GTAAGAAGTGGTCCTCCAACTTGAACCAGCCACCATTTCTCTGGGCATTACGCCTATCTCTCTCTCTCTCTCTCTCTCTCTCTCTCTCTCTCTCTCTCTTTGTTTCCCTCTCTTTATTTCTCGCTTTCTTTGTGAATGTTGTCGATATGAATGAAAAAAAAGAAAGAAAGAAAGAAAGAAAGAAAGAAAGAAAAGAAAGAAAGAAAGAAAAAGAAAGGAAAATGATCGAGAAAATGAAAGAAAGAAAGAAAGAAAGAAAGAAAGAAAGAAAGAAAGAAGAAAAGGCGGGAAAATGATCGAGAAAGAAAGAAAGAAAGAAAGAAAGAAAGAAAGAAAGAAAGAAAGAAAGAAAGAAAGAAGAAAAAGGATAGTCTGGAAAGAAACAATGCTAACAGGGAGGGAAACATGAACACATTACAACAGGTCTTAGAAAATCAGTCTCTTTCCTGTTGGCCTTGAACCAATGAAGTTTTTTTATAACACGATATAGCAATCAATTCCAAAAAAATCCAATTCTCTTCATCGTTTCCTTATTAAAATCAGACAAATTCTGTATGACCTTTAAAACGGGAACCATATGTGTTTCTCCATTGTATTCTCCTTGTCAGCCCATTTACCGGCTTTCTGCTCGTCTTACGGGAAAAGGTACTTGCTTATTTGACAGGACCAAAAATAAAAAAAAGACTTTCCCGTCTGACAAATTGGAAGATCTTTATCTAAACTAAGTAATCCTATATTTTATTCATTTCTATTTATTTACTTATTTAGTTCACAGCCCAAAACCCCTATTGTTAACTAAATGAGTAAATATCTCTCCTTTAAAAATCTCTTTCTTTTCATAAACATCAATCAATTCAAAACTATGTACAACACAATAAATACACCAAGGCCGTTTCAGTTCTATGACTACATACACCCTTGTGCAAATTAAGTATACAGGAAAATGTGGAGGGCTATAACCACCTACACCCTTGTGCAAATTAATTGAAACAAAACGAATAATTCAATTATTAATTACTTTTTCTGTATTTTTCGAATGAAACATGACTAAGTGCACATGTTAGTACTTGGCATGTTCATTCCACTGAGTCATTCCCTGCAGATTGACTACAGATTCTCGATTGGATTTAAATCAGGAGAGTTTCCGGGCCAACCTGTAGTATTTTGATTGCTCACTGGTGAGGGTTGCCAGGGTGTTCGTGCAGCGTTAAAATTTTCGTACGCTTTCTGGAGTAACGTCCATCGCAGACAATGGCCGTAGGACAACTAATCGACAGTCGAGACAATAGTGTCTGGGCGTGATGAGAATCCGATGCAATCACAGATGACGCAATATGCGTGAAGAAATAGTTTTACTATTTCCTACTGTGTTTGAATCTAGAGAATAACGCGACAACGCGTAAAAACGATAATAGTAATAATAATGTTGATGGCAAAATGAACAAGAATTGTACATGAATGTCGATGTGTGTATAAATGTGTTAATATTCAGTAAGCAGTCAGATGCACAAGAATTATTTCTGTGTCGGGGGGATAGCGGCTTATAGGCCTAATAATAATGATAATAATAAAAGTAATAATAATAATAATTCCATTAGTATAAGATGGACAAATATGTTACATGTGTGTGTCATACTTTTCCAATGAAATATGACCAACTGCGCATGCTCATACTTCGTATATCCAAAGTCGTTCCTTGCAGATTGACCACAGATTCACGATTGGATTTAAATCAGTAGAGATTCCGAGTCAATCTATAGTACTTTGATTTGATCAACGGTAAAGCTTGCCATCGTGTTCTTGCAGTGTTACTATTTTCGCACGTTTCCTTGGAGTAACGTCCATCGCAGACAATGGCCATAGGACAAATAATCGACAGTTGAGACAATAGTGTCCGGGCGTGATGAAAATCTGATGCAGTTACGGATGACGCAATATTTTTCAAGGCCAAACAAATTTCATCATACACCCCGAAAATAGATTCATATTACTGCACACCCCTGCAAATGACCTAATCTGAGGCCAAAATAGAAATTGATTACACCCTGTCACTCAAGTGCAGTGTTTCTCAACCATTTTCACTTCAGGGCGCACTTGTGAAATCACTAAAACTCTGAGGTGAACTTTAAATATTAATAAGGAAGAATTAGTCATGAAACTTGAAATTAGGAAAATAAGTAGTCTCCTAAAATAAACATTTATTTTTAAGACATTGTATATTTAAATATGCTTGTGTAAAAGCAGTGCTTTGGCAATTGTTGAAGGCCTTATATATGATAAACATACTCATATCTCCATCTGTTTTGCATTCAATTTTGGTAAGTGCAGGAAATCGTAATTCACACAGGTATAATATGGAAAAATATTAAATGTTAAAAAATAATATTAAATATTAAATATTTTAATGATATGCTTCTGTCTATATTTCTGAGATGAGGTATTATGTACACTATTTAGATTATTCAGACTTTTGTCCTCATCTTTGTCCCCGTATTTAATACAAAATGTTTCAGCCTTCTTCAGGTGGTTGGAATGTCGAACTGAACGCTTTATTTCGCTCACCGAAAAAGGCCGGAGCGTACAAAGGCCGAAACTTTGTAATATATATGGCGACAAAGATGAGGACAATAGTCCGAATAATGTAAATGATATTCTTCTTCAGTAGAAATCCCAAACTGATCAATAGATAAATCTTCATACTTGATATGTTATCCACGATCAGCAGATATAGTGAACAGCTCCGATTCCGTTGACGATAAGCCGTCATCTTCAGTTGAAACGTCGACTTTGAACATGGAAGCCATGTGCTTAGTGTCTCTAGCTTTTTAAAATTAACATTTTTTAAATATAAAAATAATTGATAAATCATTCTTGGGGCGCACCTGGGCACCTTTAAGGGCGCATTATTGCGCCGGGTCGCACCGGTTGAGAAATGCTGCTCCAGTGGGTCTAAAACTGACCGTATGGCGAAAGGAAGGAAAGTAAATCGGGTGTTTCAATTAATTTGAACAAGGGTGTACGTAAAATTTAACTCTTAAACGGCGGGCGTAACCAATAGAAATCCAGTGAATATTAATAAACGACAGAATTTTTTTTCCCCCACGGGCATAAATTCATTCATGATTTGATTGACTAATTGGATTGCAATTTCCGCTTGCAGGCATCGACTTCAAAAAGGATGCCACAGTCAGTCTTTTTTCTAAGCTTAAACACCGAAAGATCTAAATGATAAACGGTACAGCCACTCGTATCCGAGGTTGCCAGTCTACTAGGCCGGCTAGCTAATCCCCGTTGCAGACGCCTGCTCAGGCACGATGGTGTTTGTTCAACACGCACAAAACCCACCTGTGAGTTATACTGCAACCCCATGCTGAGCGGATATTTCTGGTTTTGGTGAACGAGTCGTTTTTGTTTTTTTTTTCGGGCCCCATGTTGGAGGGTCGTCTCCCTCAGTTCAACAACATCAATCAGTCGCCATCCTGAAAAATCCGACCACGGTGAGATAGGGGGCCATTTTTTATAGTCGGAATGCCAAGTCAATGTCCAATCTACTCAGCCCTCACACACGGATATGCATACATATATACATGGACGCAACACGCACACACACACACACACACACATACATTACAAAAATTAATAAAACAGACATATATATACATATATATATATATATATATATATATACAGTTGTATGGAATATTAGTTTGTCTAATAAAATGATAAAAACTAATATCCATACAACTGAAAATGTTAACTCTATAACAGATATTGAGCACTTTCCACAAGCACCATATATATATATATATATATATATATATATATATATATATATATATATATATATATATATATGAAATGAATTAATTGACAATAATTTAATATATTTTCTGTTTATACGTCGTTTTAACAGATACAATTTATTTAAGTAAATGCTCTGTTTTTTGGGGTTTTTTTTTTTAATTAAACAGTATTAATTACATTTACCGGCCTGAATATTTGAGGAATTTCGTATAAAGGTCTCCAACAGGAATCGAACCTGCGTCTTATAGGGAACCGCCATTTGATCTCTTATATACTATCACTTTAAAGGTCAGTTTTCGAGCGCAAGTTTTTCTTTGAAAAGATTTCTCTAACGTTCAGGTCAGTAGATGAAAATAAATAAATATACGTTTTAATAAATCAAAGGAGCGTCTATTCAAATACGTGTATCCCCGAAAAATAACATTTAAAAATATCTGTCAAATTAACAAAAAGTCCATAATTTTCTTATATATATATATATATATATATATTTAGGCGAGAGAGAGAGATATATATATATATATATATATATATATATATATATATATAATGATATATATATAATGATATATATATATATACATATATATTTATATATATATATATATATATATATATATGTACATATATAGATAGATAGATAGATAGATAGATAGATAGATAGATAGATGATGGATGATATTAGTGGTAAATATACATACATATGCAAAATATATAAATACCCATACATGTATATTTTTTTGAATAAAAATTCAAAGAGGAAGAATCCAGGTAGAACTCAATGTCCAGGACAGAGTAAGGATATAATAAAAGGTTAAACATTAATATTCCATGGTCATAATTTATTCCATTGGAATCGTAAAATACGATCCAATTCATCAGACCTAGAAATTCAAAAAAGAAAACAGAAAAAAACAACTCCGGAAATAAAAACAGAATTTAGAGAGAGTGTAAGTATGAGGAGGAGGGAGATTAAACCTTAACAGAGAGAATTTTAGGAGAGGTGGGTGGAAGGGGTTTAAGTAAGAGAAAAATGAATGTTGTCGGATGTCTAATGCATAAAGATACATTTCGTGGTGACATACACACACCATAGACAATCTAATGTTAGAATAAGAGGGAGGGAAAGACGAGGTGGGGGAGAGAGAAGAGGCGAAGGAAAGTAAAAGTGCGTTTACTTAAATATTACTTATATA